TTAGAACTGGGTTTGGAAGTTCCTTGCTCATAACATTATTATAACCTCTCCCCTTCTCTCCTATAAAATAATTGCCAGAAATGCATGTGCTCCTGTCCACGAGGTCACTCTGTGAATTGAAGTCTTTTATTTCTTTAAAAGAGGGACTGTATTTTCTGTATTGGAAGTTGTCTGTTGGAACTTTGTACGTGATGTGTAGGTCTGTGTGACACGGTGAGGATTTCAAATGGGGCGGTGGTGAAATGTTCCCCTTGTTGGGGTTGGTACAACAGACCCACTGTGAGGGCAGAGTGGGAATCATTCCAAAAACCATTGCTGTGGGCAGAGCTCTGTGATCTCCCCTGGAGTCAGCAGGGATGCACAAGGGTCCAGCCGGGTGTTGGTGCATCCTTGCTGGCTGTGTTCTGTCAGGCTGCTTTCTACAGGGATGGGCTTTAGGTGTTCTGTAGTTTTACAGCTTTCACTGGACAAGCTGGCTAAGTTAATTCTTCCAGGAGTTCATTATTAATGCAGTTTTTCTCTTTTGTAATCATATTTTCTCAGTTTTAAGTCCTCTTTTATTCTGCTTGTGTTGAGTATGCCTTGTGTGGGTCTTGATCTGAAGATCTCAGAATGTACCAACATATTTAATGCTTGGGAATTTCTTCCCCTCTGTGTGTGTGTGTTTATAAATATGTATAATACATACTTCTCTGCTACTGCAGTATGCAAACTATACAGGTGTATTTTTAAAGAAGGCACTATTTATGTGATTTTAACCCCTGAACTGCTACTGTGATACTGTAACTTTCAGACAGTGATTTCAATCTCTTCCCCACATGTTTTGGGCACAGCAGTTAATAGAATTACTTTCATAATTATCAAAGGAGAACCGAAGGAGACTATCAACAAACAGTTTAGTTTACATTTCAATTAAAGTTGTACACTTGTGGCATTACATTTATCCCTATATATTACAATAATAATATTGAAAGAAAATAATGCTCTCAGTTGTGCTTTAGTTGTGCAAAACTTTCAAGCCAACTACCTGATGCATGACCTCTCTGAGAGTCACAGCTTGGTTACCACTGTAAGGAAAGTGTGTATTCACCTGAGAACTCTTCCAGTATGTTTAGCAGCAGGAGTAATGCTGGATCTTGGGATAATGGTCCCTTGTTTGCATTTATAAGGAAACAAAAGTATTGTCCACGTTGTTGTGGAGTAGCTCATCAAATCCATCCAAACAACTTAAAAAAAGCTGTTGGACGATAATAACTACAAGAGTTTTTGAATCACATTCTTCATGGGAAAGACTAAAATCAGACTTCAAACAAATCAGTTTGCCAGCTCTTCCTAATTTATTTCTTTACACTTTGTTTTTAGAGTGTAAAAATTAAGTGTGGACCAGAAAATGCACAGGCACAGAAAGCAGCAAGATTCCAGGGACATTTAGAGACTTTTCCTTGTCTCTGGATCCTGGCGTATTAAAGGTTAATGGAGATTTGAGGCAGAATGTGTTTTATTACTTCTCCAGAGCCTCAGACTAGTTCTTCCATCACAGGCTATAAAACCAAACCCCTCACTCAGGTAATGAACTTGCTGCTCGAGCTTCATGTCTTACTTAAACGAGGGACTGTGGAGCCCCCGTTGGTGCCACGGGAGGTGCTGGGCAGCGAGAGGGACCCGCCTGTGCCTCCTGCAGCTCAGGCATGAACGATGCTGCTGCCTCAGCTCAGCAAGCAGCCATCTCATTAACTCTGGGAAGTCTCTTCTGCCCTTTCCCTTCCCAGTTCTTCTTTCTCCAAGTTTAGCATGTAATTAAAAGAGCGCAGTGGCTGAGGAGCGAGAAGGGAATTTTTCCCAACGCCGTTCCTTGTAGGATGTAATACATCGCCCACACATCCCAGGGCCGGGATTGAAGAGCTCGTCCCATTTGTCTTACTTGAGATTTAAGCGAAATCATCTGCTGAGCGTTTCAGTCTATCCCTGTGCATTGCAATTCATCCAGCTCCTCTGAAAAGAAAAATGGGAAAGTAAGACATGGTTAATGTACCAGCCTTTTATGTGGAGAGAACAAATTTGACATAGGACATTAGAGATAGAGGCTACAGTCTATCTTCTGGCTGTACAATGCTAATTAGCGTTGTGAACCCATCCTTTTGTTCAGCCTGGTGGGTTATATCAGCCTTGGAAGAATTCTGGGCTGGAACAGCCAGTGCAGTGTGTTGGGACTGCCTGGCTTTTGGCACCAGAGCGGGGTTGGCAGCGGAGCAGGAGCAGCTCTGGGCTGGTTGTGCACCTGCTTCCCGACAGCGCCGGGGCACAGGGAGGGACAGGGCTCTGGGACACGGGAACACTGCGGGGTTTGTGCCCTGTGGGGCACAGGGAGGGACAGGGAGTGGGCTCTGGGACATGGGAACACTGCGGGGTTTGTGCCCTGTGGGGCACAGGGAGGGACAGGGCTCTGGGACACAGGAACACTGCAGGGTTTGTGCCACAGGGCCTGGCGTTGGCACGGCCAGGGGGGAACGGAAGGAGCAGCGTGGTGAAGCTGCTCTTTGGAATCAGGGTGTCCCAGGAAATGCTCTCAGCTCTTCCCCTCTTCCCACTTTTCTCTTTAGTCTTCCTGTTCCTGCCACACCATATGGAAGTTAGGGAATTACTTTGCTCTCTACTGAGAGAAAAAACAAGAAATGAGTATTTTTATGTAGCGAAAATCTTTGTATTAACACGTGTTTTGAGAACCTGCACAGCACAGAGCAAATCTGCTGCAGTTCCTCAGCACTCTTGTGTGAAGCAACCCAGAGGCCAAGTCCTGCACCTGCACCCAGGCATGATAAGCAACTGATAAATATCCTATTATTCAACTTCAGCATTTTTAATTTATTTTTTTTTTTACATACTGCATTCTGACATCCAAACACGAGTCTGCTGCCTTTATTGAGCTTGACATACTGCAATTTCTATCAAAATTAAGTCTTTGGGATCCCTGTTAACATACCTAGTTTCAACAAAAGGCTTTATAAAACAGCTGACTTTAAAAAGATGACATTTGCATGATGCAAAATAATTTTTACTTAAAACAGCCATAGAAGGTGAAGTTAGTAGTGACTAATTTTCTGGTTTTGCCCAAAAAAATTTTTGCAAATCACTGAAAACCAAAAAATTAAACTTTGAATCTTTATTTGAATTGTTCAGACTGGTTTTTCTGTTGAAAGCCTGATACTATTGCAAACAAAAAAAATATCTTTAAAATAAACCACAAATTCACTGTATTTGCAAAACCACGTGTCCTGTCTTCCTCATGCCTCTCTATGTCTTCTTTGCAGATGCCAGAGTTTAGTGATCTAGCAATAGCTAACTTGGTTAACAAGTATACAAAAAGCTAAATTAACTTTTAAATCTAATATATTTTAATTTCATTTTTCTATGTTGTTATTAAGAAACTAAAATTATGAAAATGCCATGTATATTCTGTGGGTTAGGCCTGGATAGAGGTGACAAGTCTGAAACTGGTTTAGGTAGGAGGCTGAGTGGGATGCTCTGTATTGATCTTTGTCCTAAAATTAGTCAGGGTTTATTTATGAGTAGCCTGAAAAAAAAAGTAAATAGGGAGAGCAGGAAATTTGAAAGCAGAGATATTCCCTGGTTATATTGGAAAAAAAGAAGGAGCAAATACATTGTATTTATTATGTAGAGCTATAAACTGGGAATAAAAGAGTTTAGGCAGGGCTTGCCTGACTCCACTGAGAGAAGTGAAGATCTCTGAAGGTTGTGGAAGGCATGAGCACACCCTTATCCTGGGTTCTGGATGCCAGTCTGGATTTAAAAGGACAATGCCTGGACACCACGTGTGGAGGGATCTATTTGAGGAGTGGAAGGGTTTGTTTCCATTGGGTTTGTCACTGGTATGAAGCTCCAGGAACACCGTGTTGTGTTTGGAGAGCAACAGTCCGAGGGTGCTCATAACAACTCACAGCAGTGCTTGGAGGTTTGGGCAGCTCCCTTTAGAGAGAAGACTCGAGAGCTGAATTTATTTATATTTTCATTTAAAAATAGCAATGTAGAACCAGTAGTACTTGTTAAGTATGGGGCAAAAGCAACGAGCTGACACTGCAGTGAGAGCTGTTGGGATTGCCATGGCAATCCACCCTTTGACAACAGCCAGGATCCCATACTCTGTTTGTGGAACCACAACCTACCACTGTGACTAATTAAGCCAAGGCTGAGCCCATAACCTCAAAACCTGCAGTCCAGACTTTCTTTCTGTCTGAATTGCAAGGTTAATACTGCAGAGAGCACGTGGGCTCTTCTGTGGACCCTCCGTGGGAGACCTGGCATCACCTTCCTGGGCAGTGTTGGTGGAGCAGCAGTGAGGAGGCCTGATTTGGATTCCTGAGCCATTTTCTTCATATTGGTGTTGTCTCCTAAGCTATATAGGGACTCAGCCCAGGACCTCAGCAGGGGGCAGTGGGAAGAGTTTTGCTGCTGCCCTGCAACTTGATGCTGCTTATTCTCTTAGACTCCTTCTTGTTAGAGACGATTTAGTTCCAAATGGCACAGTGTTGCCTAGGGCAGGAATAAACCTCCCTCAAGACCCTCCAAGAGGGCAGGTAATTGCAGCCTTTCCTATTTCACTGGGGCTGGCAGTGACAAAAGATAATTGCCCTGGGCTTGGTGTGGTTCCTGGTGTGGACTCGTAGCAGCCCTGTTTGCTAATAAAGTATTCTGTCATAAAAACTCGTCTGAAAGGTGAGGAATTCAGAGTGAGTCTGCTTTTACTTTCAGATCCCTGTGGATTGGTATTGAGTTATCTCAGCAGTACAAAAGTAGAAAATTCACGTTGTGTTTTTTCTGGATAGAAAAAGCTTTGCATTCTCAGGATTCTGTCAAGCACAAGTAGCAAAATTTATGTTTGGCCATCAGCTCCTTTAGGAAAACATTTCAATCTGTAAAAAAAAGAACTAAAGAAAGAGAATTGAATATGGGTGTTGATTTTCTTTGTCTTTCCTTTGCTACAGCTTGTTTGCTATGCTTCAGCCTCGTTTCCTGCTGTGTCCTGACCCCGGAGTGAGCACTGGCTGGGCTGCAAGGTTGGCATTTCCAGGTATGATCCACAGCTCCTTAATTAGTACCGGAGTGCTCGGAGAGCAGGGCTGGCCAGGGGTGGGAGGAACAGCTGCTGGGGCTGTGCCAGGCTCCACTCCAGCTGCTGGGGCTGGCTGTGATAAGACACCTCTTCCTTTGAGGTGGCTGGATGCAGCTGGCTGCTCCTGCTGCCCACAGAGCAGATGGGTTCCTCGGGCAGGTTTTTCCTGCCTGAAGTCAAACTTCTTGGGAGCAGCAAATGATTCCTCCTTCCCCTTTCCTCCTCTTACAGCACTGGCTAAAAATTACAGTGGTTTCCATAGTTGATAGGTTTAAGCATCTGTCTGTGAAAATGGAGGGTTTTTCTTCTCTCATGGAGTAAATCAAGCTGCAAAAAACCAGTCATTGACTGTAAGGATAAAAACTAATACAGAATTTCTATTACATTTCCTTTCTTATTCTGTCCTTGATGATATTTAATGATGCCTTCACTGCATAGCTCTTCCATGTACGGATTCTTTGAAAGTGTGGAATCAGATGTTGTGGTCTAAAATAAATTACTGGGGTTTTGTCTGATTGGTTGGGGTTTTTTTCCCCTGCCCTACATCATGTCTCTTTTGGTAGCCTGAAAAGCTAATTACTGACTCTTGGGTGCCCTGGGTTTGGCTGTTTGTCCTTTTCTGTCACCATGGAGGGAAACAACTGCATCACAGAGCCCCCTGTGATGTGCCTGGAACACTGGTGTGTTGGGGCAGGTTTTTGTGACTGTCAGACACAACACTTAATCATAAGAACAAGTGAAAAATCAATTCCTATTATGAATGCTAAAAGCATACAATTCCAGTACCTGCTAATACCTTTTCTGAATTTCATCTATGATGGTGCTTTTTATTCCTATTAACATTCTTATCAGTGGTGGCTTCCCATTTTATGGGGATGGATTCTGGGCAAAGCATAAGGAGCACCAAAGAGTATCTGTTGTTATTGTTGAACACTGAAGAATATCTGTTGTTGTTATTAACTTCAACACTAGTAAACATTAATATCTTTAACCTTGTGACTGAGAGCTCATCACTCATTTCACTGCTGTGGCTTATGGCTGCAGATTAAAATTTCTTACATCCATCGTGCTGGTGAAGTAGCTTATTGGGATGAATAAATGACATACTAATTAGAAGAGTAGCCTGAGAGAGAGCAAGCTGCTTGAACTAGCTTTGATGGCCAAAAAATTACCTGTAGCTGGTTTCTCAAGATTATCAAAGAAGTCCTCAAATTAGAATGGCTGTCTTTGATCGTGGATGTGAGGAACAAGGCAAAGTGAGTGCTCCAAGCAGATGGCGGTGGGAGGAGATGGTTGCTGTGGAATGGGAAAATGAAGGAGCTTTTACAAAGATTCAGGCCCTTTCCAGGCATTTGCTCCACTATATAGTGAATGAGGCATCACTATCAGGCTTATTTTTATTTATATTTTCCACCATAAAGTAGCAATGTATGTGTTTTCAAAAGTTAAATTGTTTAGGTTAGTTGTAGGGAAAAATCCCTTTTTTTTTCTCTTTCTTCTGTAACCTTATTCTGATGTTTCTATCCTGTAGCATGAAAACATTCAAACAGTACTGATCTTTAGCAAGACTTCCACCTGGCTTCCTTACCTTGGGAATGACCATGGCCTGACTTGGGTATTGCTTTGGGTTTGTTTGGATCACTGCAGGACGTGTTGGGGTGACACAGTCCCTTGGCCTGGGTAGCTCAAAGCCTGAGGCCCCAGTTGCCCAACATCAAACGTGGTTGTATAGTCACAAAAAGCAGAAATGAGCACAAGGAATGTTCCAGGGCTGAGCTGTCAGTCTGGGACAAGAGTGACAAAGTGTGGGAGGAGGAGAGGAAGGCCTGACCTTCCTGCTGGGAGATAATGGGATGTCAGTGTTATTGCACCATTTAGTTATTTTGCTGTATCAAACTGAAACCACGGAAAGTAAAGAGTAGGATGTGGGAAAAGGAGGAACAGAACCATGCCCAGACTCCAGCGTAGAGTGGCCCTGCCCTTAGTGCTGCCCAGACTTCCTAAATGGACAACACTGGAATAATCTAGTGAGTGAATTTTGTTCTGAGCTGAAATGGTTAATGCTTTGTTTAAGCACTGAAATTGGGAGCTGTGGGTTTACCCCACCTAATACAACTGTCCGTGGCTCATCCTGAGTATAAATGTCTCATTGTTCCTCTGAATCCATCAACCTCTTGATCTCAGTGTCAGCTTGTTTCAGGATGTGTTTTATGTGGAATAATTTTCTTCTTGCAGATGTAAATATGCTGCATTGAGTTTATTGTTCTTTTTTTGAGATAGATGCTAAATGGGAACACCCAGTCTGTCTGCTTTATGTGACGGATCATTTAATATAATATCATTTTATTTGTCTCATTCTGAACTAAACTATCCTAATCTGAAGGGATTTCACTGAAAGGATGAAAAACTCTCCATATTAAAATAGTTTTGTGGCTGTTTTATGCAGCATTTCTTCCTGAGATGTCATAAATAGAACTGAACACAATACTCAGTAAATCATGTCATTGATTTTCTCTGTGCAATCTGCTGGTTCCCTTGCATATTCTGTTTCACCATTTGCATGTCCTGCAGTTAGGAATTGGTGAGAACTTCTTAAAAGCTTAAAATAAAATTGTGCCATTTCTCTTTTGCCCGTGGTTTGGTAGAAAGAGCGGGTTTCCTTCACAGAAGTCATGATCAAAAGCTGTCCCATTCACCCTGTGCTCAGCTCCTGGCTGTACCAGTGCCTGATTCAGAGGGACTTCAGGATTCTATGTAGCTCAGCCACCTGGTTCCCAAATTTCTGCCCAGTTCTTGGCTCTGCACAGTCCAGCCCTGCTGTGCTATTGCTCGTAATTTTTAGGTTATTTTTAATATCTCTTTTTTTTTTTAAATGGCTCATAGTGGGGTTTATTTTTAAACTTAATTCTCTCCACTCTATATTTAATAACTCCTAAGGCTCTCCCAGGGGGATTGAGACCTCTGGAGGGTTCCCAGCTGGCAGTGCTGTATCCTCTCACACTGGCTGTGATCCACCAGCTCTCTCCTGAGTTACCTGCCCTGACACCACAGCAGGTGTTTGGCTGCTTTTTAGTAAGTTCTTTCCTATCCTTTCAAATACTGGTTTGTATTTCACTATCCACAAGTTAATTGCTGAACTGCACTGGGTAATTTTTTTTTGGCAGTTGTGGGTTTTGCTGCATCAGCACAAAGGGTTTTGGAGCCTTGCAGCAGTGCAAGGGAGAGGGGTTTAAGTCAATAGAAGCTGCAGAATGGCTGGACCCCCCCATGCAGTGATGATCCACACTGCTCTGCTCCCCAGACTGTGCTCAGCACAAGGGTGACCACAGCTGTCACTGCCTTTCTGACTGAAGCAGCAAATATCACATTTTTCAGGTATTGCTTTTTTGTTTGTTGTGAGCACGTTCTGGAGAGTTTGGGTAAAGTTTGTTCTTCTGAATGTTTTCATGTTGCTTAAAAAACAGGAAAAAAGATCAAAGGACAGAATTGCAAGTGAGCCCAGGAAGGGTAAATCAAAGATAATTAGATTGGTCAAGGTATAGTCATACAGGAGCAATTTTGATATACTGTGAGAGGCTTAATTCTCATAATTTTCCTTAAATAGAGTTGGGAGAAACTTTAATGCACTGGAATTGAGGATATTTTAAAAAAATTATTATTATTATTATTGTGCTTTCTACTTCCAGCTGATGCACTTAACCTTAATTTGCTGCTGTGTAGTGAAGCCCTTTTTAGGAAGCAAAGTAAACAATTTATAGTCTGGTTTATCTCACTGGGGTTTTCTTTTTAAAAAGTAAAAAAATAAAAACTAATTTTCCATGTAAATATAAAAGTATTCCTAAAGAACATACTGTGCAGCATTGTCTGAATGATCATTATAATATGAATATATATATATATATATATATATATGTTTGGTCATTATAAATTTGTGTTAATGCTAAATGGTGATTTTTCCAAAAGGAAAAGAAATATTTTTTGTAGTTTTCTCCAGTTCAGAATGTCAAGGATTCTTATTATTGGGGCTCAGAAGAGTTCATATCCAAATACATGCCTTGACTGGCCTGTTGGGCCTCAGCACCAGAGGGGAGAGCTTGTCCTTATTCCTGCTTTGTGTGCTCCCAAAGTGATGATGCAGAATCTGATGAGATTACCTGGGCAGATCCCGAGGATATTTCTTGCCTTTTCCTTGCTCTGTGGCATTATCTCTTTGGGTTAGGTAAACTGCAAAGAAATGCCTGTTTTCTTCTGAAGCATCACAGATTGTCTAGCCCTAGGCAGGCTTTTGCTCCAGTTCGTTGGTCATTTCTATCTTGTTTTATCCTTGCAAGTTTTAGGGAGGAAAAAAAAAAACATGGTTAAAGAGTTTCCTTCACTTACTCAGGATTATGAAATATTTATGTCATTTAAACTCTTTTTACATGAGAGAAAATATAGCGTGACACTTTAAAACTGGAAAAAAAAACCTATCTGCAACAAAGCAGAACTTTTTGGACAAAAATGGTAATGCCCAGCATTTATGGAAATGCCCATCTGTGCTTTGCTAGTCACAGCTCTGGCTTGGTACAACAATGAGCTGATATTTAGCAAATATCCTTCACTTTGGGAATAAAGTTGCAGCAGGACATAGTGCTGCTTCCCATCCCTTAGTTTCACATTTTTTCCTTGAGTGGGGTGAGTCCCATTCCTTGACACTCTCTGGGAGCATTTCTACAGCCCATTGCCCCCCAGAGGGACCTGCAGGTGTGAATTTGGAGAGTTTCAGCTTTAGAAAAAAAAAAAAGTCTCTTAAAATGTTTACAATTATATTAAAATTTCAAAGACACAGAAATCAGATACTGGCAAAGAGTCCCCATCCCTCCATTCCTCCTGTGTGAGGTTTGCACTGTGGTTGGTGACGATCAGGGACTGTCCAGGTGCCTGTAAGTGCTTCAGACAAACCACAAAGCCGTGGTTGTTTTGTGGCCTTTGGGCACTCCCATATAGGAAACCCAGGCTGGATTCCCACTGCTGGTGTTTTCAGTCTGAGGACGTGTCTGACAGTGGTGAGAGGTTTGTGGGCTGTGCAGGAGCACTGCCCTGGGCTGATCAGGGCAGTTTATTCTGCAGCATAAAAATTGCATAAAACTGTTTTCAGGGACAGCGGTGCTAAAGGTAAATGGCTTTTCCCTGCAGGAGAACCAAAGGAAACCTGTCCCAGTACCTGGTGATCTCAGAAGAGACCACAGAGTGCTCAGGAATATCACACACCATCATTTGGGGGGAGCTTTTTGCAGCCCTGTCTGAGAGGTGCATTCATTTCCATGTGCTCATGCACTGAGCAGGCCTGATTAATTAGTGCGTGTCACCATCTGGTACTTACTGAGGCTATTCATTTTTAAAATGTTGAAATTGTAGGGAATGTTGCACACCAATTAAGTTCCTTTTAATTGGATTATTTTAGTATAAAGTATTACTGGAGAAGGCCTTCATTGTGATTCAGGCAGCACACGTCCAAAGGAGACCTGACAGCCTGAAATTACCTAGAACAAAGGGAAAATGCCTGAAATGCATGTTTGTTACTATCTTCATGCACTCAGCAAAGATGATGTCAACAAATAAGAGCCACACAAATGCTGTGCCAGGTTCAGTTTCCTGACACAAGGGTATCTCAGCTGATCCCTGCTTCATCTTTGCACTGCAGCTCCGAATCTGTCATCTCCCTCTGACCTGGAACGTGAGATATGCTTTTATGTTCCTGTCTGTTTGATACCAACTCAACAGGGCCAGGCTGAGCCCTGCTGTGTGCAGTTGTGTACCTGCAGAAACGAGGAGCATTAGTCTCATTTACACAAAGAACACGTTGGCCTTTAAAGCTGATAAATTATCTGTGCTGACTCAACCATTTAGTGAATGAATGAAGTGTCACAATCTGCTGTTGGGAGCAGAACTTGTCTGTCTGTACTTGTTCCTGACACTGACTCACTTGGTGAATTTTAGTTCCTCAGCGTCACTGCACTGCAGTGCTTCCCTGGATAAATTTGAAGAGTTCTGTTTATCAACTTACATAAAAGACTGAGGTACAAGGGTGAAATGCACACTGTTGATATTATGTATTTGCTATTAATACTTTCTTTAGAAGTCTAATGCTGTTTTTTTATGTAACATCTGTGTTTGTTATTGCCCTGATTTTGCAGAGATTGCCTTCAAATAAGTTTTGTCATCTGAACTACTCATTGCAGAAGAGCCAAGAGCTCTGCAGAGTGCACATTCCCGTTCCATTGCAGGTTCATAGGCTGCCATGGAAGCAGGAAAGTTATGGAAGAAAAGATACCTGATCAGTAGCAGCTGAAGAAATCTGAGGTGTGAGTGCCTGGATCTCTTGTTGACCTGCTTTGTTTTGGAGAGTAGCGTAGGAATCCAGCAATGAACAGTGTCAGGGTGATTGTTTCCATACATTTGTGTACATTTTCATTCCCTTCGATGGCCTCTGCTGCCCCCTGCCAAGCTGCAGCTGCTGGTGACAGCCATGGAAGCAACAGCCTGCTGAAAGAAGATTTCATTTCTGTTATCACTCCTAATCACTCTCACCATAATTATCACTCATAATAGGGAATCTGCAGATGACAAAGCAAATGTATTTTCTTTAAAGAGAGAGGAAAGCAGCAGAAAGATTGCTTTTAGTTGTACACAAAGGAAGAAACTGTCTCCATTTTTTTAGCATGCAAATGCTTGTTTTGACTTATAAAGGTCACTATGGATTTGATTTGAAATAGCGTAGGAGTGCTGCTGATTTCCAAGTACAAAAGTAGCACAATGTTTGAATTGTTTTGGTTGTTTTCTTAAGAGCCATTTCCTCTGGTTGGAAGGTGCCTGTTTCCTCTGTGGTGCAGCTGCAGGCAGTGTCAGGGCATGGGGCAGGAACTGCTCATCCTGCGTGTGCCTGAGCCAGTTGGAAACCCAGCTGGACTTTACAGACCCAGGAACTCAGTGGCTCTTCTGTCTCAGACTGTGCCACAAATCATCTTGGGCATTGTGGTTGTGTTTAAACCAGTTCTGTTGGCTGTTGGAGAGCAAAAGATCTGAAATACTTATGCATGGCTTATGTATTTTCCATGTACCAGTCACACATCTGCATTTCCACAGTCCCCAGGTACCTGACTGTGAGGGTGGCACTGCTGGGGCGTGGGGTGAATGTTTGCACGGAGCTGTGGAGTTGTTATTCCCACTGGAGTGCTGAGGTTCTGCTGAGGTTCCTGCAGTTCCCATTCACGTGTTGGGTGTAGCTCTCCCTTGGCTTAGAGGAAAACTGCTCAGCATCCGTGTGTCTGAGGGAATGAGAGGGAAAGCTGCGTCACAGCACAGCCAGTGGTACAACAAATGTGCAGCAGAGAGCTTTCCCATTGCTACCCTGGCTTTCCTTAGCCTGGAACACCATAAAGCTCTCTGACTTTTGATGGGATTCCAGAACAAGTGCAGCTTATGCAATTTCAGAGAAATGATATCACAGGGTGAAATCTTGAAGCACACACACATATGCACAAAGCCTTTTGTTTAAATTGTTTGTTCAGAGCTTTTATGTAATGGAGAACTATATCTTCAAAAAAACACCATTTAGTTTAGATTCCCATTAATGTAACTTTACTCCTTTTATTTGTTAAACACATGAAAGGAAGGAGCTAACCAGAGTATGAAATTGTAGTATGTGTGCTCTCTCTCTGGTTTTAGGGGAATTATTTCTTAATGTAATTTGTCTGCTTACAATATATGGGCTTGCAAAGTGTTGAAGCAACAAATCTTGAGAGAGAGATCGAAAAACATACAAAGGCATTTCACTCTGTATATATAAAATAAAGGCAGATCTCAGCCTGGCAGGCTTTCTATCTCTTAGGTCATACAGAGAAAGCTTTTGGCACCGACTTTTTGGCAAAAAGCTTTGTCTGGAAACATATTTAGTCAGCATATGAAATATGATAGCCCTGGTAGCACGGCTGTGTCTGAAGACACTAATAGAGTTAGGCTTCAGCCCCATCTGCTGTTGGATCGGGATGGCTTTGTTGGTTTGCCAGCACAGGACAGCCCCTTGCCAAAACCCAGAGCAGGACGTGAGGAGACTGACAAATCCCTGCTCGTGTCAGCTCTGCTAATGAGTCTGTTGTTTGCCACGCTGATGAAAGCCAGTTGTGCCTGTGGAGAATTCCAGCACAGCTGTCCATGGAGAGCTGCATCTGGGACCGCAGGGCTTTATCAATGCCCTTTCAGTGCACCTGGGGGAGCAGCAAGGATATTTCCTCCTGAAGGTCTGTGAGAATAGAAGATTATTGATTTCCAGTGCCTGTGTTTACAGAAGTAGCAGTGGAAGTACAGATTCTTTCACCTCAGTAAAATCTCTGCAATAATTTGAGTTATGCAACAGTGACGAAGAGAACAGACTTGCGGATTTGGCTCAGGAGGCTTAAAATCTTCAGGCATTAATTCATGGAACTCTCAAATCCTGGATACTCCAATGTCTATAAAGCACAGCAGATTCGTGTTTGATTTTTACTTAGGGCTGATCATTTCAGGAAATAAAAAGATTCACTTTGAAAGAGGTTTTCAGTTCTTCTTCAATTGTTATTTCTGGAGGGGTTAGGTAGAAAAGCTACATGTGAAACAAATCAGGGACTAAAAATCCATAGCTTTGTTTTGAGGATATCAGAATGGTTTATGGCCACTGTGGTAAGCAAAAGGAGAAAAAACAGTGACTTTCTAGAAAGATTTCCACAGTATTTTTATCTTACTTTTCCAGGACATCAGTCCAGCCTGTCCCTTCAGCCAAAATACCTCTCCAGTTATCATTTGACTCTGATGAAAGAAGTGCTAAAATGGCAGAGTTTGGAATTGCTTGAACATATTTTCTCACTTAAGCTGAGCTTGTTCACATTCAAAGCTAAAACAAATTATCTCAATTGCATTTAGGAGAGTAAACATGCTCTTAGTTTTCTGTCTCATGTTTAAGTAGTTCTGGTGAAAGCAATGTGCACTAATCTTCGGGTTTATATCCTCTTCCTGCATTTTTTTATTGGACAAAATTAAAGGTCAATGGTCCTGAACTAGTCAAGAGAATTACTCTCAATTCTCAGTCATTGCCATTTCTCTCTCTCTCTCTCTCTCTGCTTTCAGTAACACACAGCTTAGCTGCCAAAGTTTTAATTCTTTATGTATGAGAAGAATGATATAAAAACTTGTTTTTACATTTCAGTTACATGGTTTCATAAATTTATGTAACAAGAGAGAAGCATCAGCAAAAGGCTCCTTCCAAGTTGTCCATAGTGTAGAAAATATAAGTATGATGATCAAACAGATTTCTCCCTGTTCTCATCCTCATTGTCTTTTGTATTCCAGCATGATCAGTGCTCAAAGGAGTGGCTGTACTACGTGAGCAGAGTGGAAACATATGGATGAAATGCTTACCATGCACTGAGCAGCACGGCACCAAGCACAGAGCTCCGGGAAAATGTCTGCTTGCAACACTTTCACTGAGCACGTCTGGAAACCCGGAGAATGTAAGAACTGCTTCAAGCCCAAAAGCTTGCACCAGTTACCCCCCGTGTCAGAAAAGAAGCCCCTCTCGCATGGAAATCTGAAACCCAATGCGAACCAAAGCAACAGCCAGCGGGGCAGAAACAGCGGGAGCTTCCGACCGCCCGTGGCCAAGAAACCCACCATAGCTGTGAAACCCACCATGATGGTGGTGGATGGGCAGGGCGTGTGTGCCGAGATCACCACGCTGGAGCAGGGGGAGAACAAGCCCCTGCCTGCGGGGTGGAACCGAAACAAAGCGGCCTTGAACAAAAAACCACTGAACAACAACAACGAGGAGGAAATCGAAGGTTACAGCCACGTCTCCAGGCCTTACGGCAACAACGAGGGGGTGGGGAAGGTACCAAATAACAATAATAACGGACTGACAGAAGTTTTGAAGGAGATTGCAGGTTTGGACACCACACCTCAGCTCACCGGAAACGAAACGAACTCGAGAGAAACCTTCTTGGGAAGGATAAATAATTGCTATAAAAGGTCATTAGAAAGAAAGATCCCTCCGAGCTGCATGGTGGGTGGAATGAAGGATTCACAGAGTAAGCACGTTATTCTGAGTGGAAGCACTGAAGTAATAAGTAATGAAGGTGGACGTTTCTGTTATCCAGAGTTCTCTAGCGGAGATGAGAGTGAGGATGACACGTTTTTTGACAGCATGCAGGAAGAGCATGAGAGCTGGGACGAGAGTGATGAAGAGTTGCTAGCGATGGAAATTCGCATGAGGGGCCAGCCCCGCTTTGCCAACTTCAGAGCTAACACCCTGTCTCCTGTGCCGTTCTGTGTGGACAAAAAATGGAACACTGTGCCCCTTCGGAACAAGTCTCTGCAGAGGATCTGTGCAGTAGATTATGACGACAGTTATGATGAAATTTTAAATGGTTACGGGGAAGAGACTGTGATTCTTTATGGGCAGGAGAGCATGCAGAGCATGGTATCGTCTGATTCCACGTCTCCTGATTCTTCTTTGACAGAAGAGTCTCGTTCTGGAACAACGAGCAGTTCTTCACAGAAGCTCTGTAACGGAGGGTTATCTCCTAGCACTCCTCAGGACCTCAAATTGATTGAACCAGAATATGAAAGTCTTTGTGACGATCAGCAAGTGAAGGATGTGTCAAAAGCGCCCAGAAATGCTCCAAAAAGTCTAGAAACTCACAAGGCAGTCCTGGCGCTTCGACTGGAGGAGAAGGATGGCAAAATTGCTGTGCAGACTGATAAGCAAGAGAATAAAAGTTCTTCAGATGTTGCTGGTCAAGCCGTAACCATTAATTTGGTGCCCGTGGAGGAGCAAGCTAAACCTTACAGGGTGGTGAACATGGAACAGCCAGTGTGCAAGCCATATACTGTAGTGGATGTATCAGCTGCCATGACCAATGAATGTAAGGAGAATCAGACTGAAACCTCAGAAACCAAAAATGCATCATCTAACCCAAGCTCGCCAGTAACTCCAGGCACACCTGTTGCCTCCTCTGCAGCATCACCTGTACGTGTAAATGCTAACCTGAAAAAATCCAGTGCAATCAGATACCAGGAAGTGTGGACTTCTAGTACTAGTCCAAGACAGAAGATACCCAAGGTGGAGCTGATTGCAAACAGCTCAGGACCTTCCGTTCCTCCCAGGAAGACAAGCCACAAGTCAGCTCCTACTTCACCTACAGCTACAAACATTTCTTCAAAAACCATCCCGGTTAAGTCTCCCAATCTATCTGAGATAAAATTCAACAGCTACAACAATGCTGGCATGCCACCTTTTCCTATTATCATTCATGATGAGCCCACTTATGCCAAGAGTTCCAAAAATGCTATTAAAGTTCCAATTGTAATCAATCCAAATGCTTATGATAACCTGGCTATCTATAAAAGTTTTCTAGGGACCAGCGGGGAGCTGTCCATCAAAGATAAAACTACTAGTGTGATAAGCCATACATATGAAGAAATAGAAACAGAAAGTACAATAACTGAAGCCATAGGCAGTAAACCCGCTGAGCTGTCCCAACCAAAGGGGGTGACGAATAGCTCTGAGTGCAGGCTGGGTTCTGTGGCTCAAAAGGTCCAAGAGTTCAACAGCTGTCTCAGTAAAAGCCAGATATCCCCACAGAGAAGTCACAGTGCTGACCACAGCTCCCCATCAAGAGCTCAAAAGGCCACGCCAGAGCCTGCAGCAAAAACAGACGTAACTCCGGAGGGTTCTGTTGGCAGCAGCGGTGGCAGAGAGAATGCAAGCACGGTGCTCTCACAGATTGTGGCTTCTATCCAGCCTCCACAATCTCCTCCAGAAACACCTCAGTCTGGGCCCAAGTCCTGTAGTGTACAAGAACTGTATTCCTTACCTCCGGAGGGAGACGCTCCTAAAAACACCCTGGTACGACCCAAATCTCTGTTTACGTCACAGCCTGAAGTAGAGCCCTCCAAGACGGCAGAAAACACCGCTGGGAAAGTGCCGAAGGATCCGCTGTCCCAGCTGGCTGCCACTCCCTCCCCAAAGCCAGCACGAGCCACCCCGAGTGCCACGAGTCCCCAGGCAGAGCAGGCACCGCCGTTCCCGCCCCCGCGCTCCACCTCCTCGCCCTACCACGCCAGTAACTTGCTGCAAAGACATTTCAGCAACTGGAGCAAACCCACCAGCCCCACCAGGTCCACGGAGGCCGAGTCCATCCTGCACTCGGAGGGGCGTCGCGCCGACGCCAAACCCAAACGCTGGATATCGTTCAAGAGCTTCTTCCGCCGCAGGAAACCCGACGATGAAGAAGACAAAGAGAAGGAGAGAGAGAGGGGGAAGCTGGTGGGTCTGGATGGAACTGTCATCCACATGCTCCCCCCTCCCCCAGTTCAGCGGCACCACTGGTTCAGCGAGGCCAAGTCGGACTCCAGCGAGAAGCCCTCCATCGTGTTCATGTACCGCTGTGAGCCGGCGCCGGCCGAGCCCAAGGCTGACCTGCCACCCAAGGGGGGAGTGGAGTCTGCCATCGCAGAGGCACTGGCAAAAGACAAGGGAGAAGTGCAGGAAAAGCCTCCAGAGAGCTCTGAACAGAACGCAGCGAGCCATTCCTCACCACCTCAGATTCCCAAGAAAATCCCCAGGTACTCCCGTTCAGCTCTTTTAGTCGCTTGCTCAGTTGTGAACTGTCCTGTATTTACTGAAAAGGGGGGAACTAAGAAGTTTTGTCACATGAAGTGTAATTTTTTCAAAGTATATTTGTTTTAGGTAGCTTAGAACATGTTTTAAAAATCTCTCCATTATGTTGGATATCAGAAAAGTTCTTAAAAATTTTTAGAAGCAGTAGCTGATATTTGCAGTTTGTCTTGGAGGTTCGCTAATGTGTCACAATAGCCATGTTCCATTCAATCAGATCCATTCTCCTGAATTTTTACTTTAAGAAAGTGCTCGTATGTTATGGGAAACCAGAGAATTTCTCTGCAGAAAGAGAAGGCAACTATTGAAAAGTACAATAGAAATTAAAAATCTGTGGCTCTTGAAAGGTGCTGTGCTCAGCTTGATGCTACACTGCAACATCACTGCAGCATCCCAAAATAAACCATGGAAAAAATGAGAGTACCTATAAAATAATCTTACCTCTGTTTTGCAAGGCCTTTAGCAGTGGACATGCTTTGTCCCCCAGCAGGATTAGATGCAGTAGAGCTGGTCACAGCATCATTTGCAGTCAGTCACATGGGCACAGTGTGCTGACCACAGCTGGGGATGTGTTAGAATGTGTCTTCCAATGTTATTACACAAACCAATCCCGAGGCACCTTCAAACTTGCATTATCTAATTCATTATAACAATAACCTAGTGGTAGGAAATTAAAAATGTTGTGAGGTGTGAGCTATGTGTGAGCCCCAGAAAACGTATCATGGCAGTGCTCTTTGGTTTTCTTCCTCCATATTTTGTATAAGAAAGCTGCAGTGTTTTTTAGTTAAGATAGTTTTAAAGTTGACTTAAGCTAACAGAAATCACTGGGTGAGCACAGTTAGAGTTTACCATAAACGGATTGTCACTTGTCCTAAAGTAAAATAACTTGGTTTTCTTTCTCCATTCTCTATACAAGAAAATTGCTAGCAACCCTTGGTCAGAGTGCAGTCTCTCTAGACTTGCCCTAAATTAAATGGGGAGAAGTAGGCAGCTTTAGGGCAAGGTAAAGAATTGGAGGAGTTTGTGCTCTCGACCCCCTTTACAAGAACCCATTTTTTTCCCCTGTATCCAGGGGAAGCTGGACAAAGTGAGGTTGATTTTGATTGCATTGCCATCAGGAAATTCTCTTGCTCCAAGCTCCCCAGTGCTGCTCTTGTGCTGCCAAGACAGTCCATGTGGTCACCTGTGCTGAGCCAGACTGGGGAAGGGATCCAAGAGAGAAATAACTCTGCAGGCATTTTTCAGCCAGATCAACTCCCTGGTGTGCCAGGGGACAGGCAGGGAGGAGCAGCTGCTTCTGCCAGTGGTGAGAGGGCAGGAAGAGTTCCTGATTCTTGCACTGCCCTGGAGATGGTGCTGTTGGAATGTGTGATATTCTTGCCCTGTGACTGGAGCACCTTCTGCCCTCCCTTTTGAAGGCAATTTGTCACTGCTCTGCCTTATTCACTTATTCCAAAAAGTACGTTTGCTCTTTAGTTTTCTGCAAGTTACAATGATAGTGGTTAAAACCACGTCTCCAAGTTTCTCCTGGTGAAAATGGGAACCTCCCAAATGTTAGAACTGGAATTTCTCCTTTCTGACAATATTGTCCTATGGTTTCTACACATTTCAAAGGAAATACTCTGAGATGCTCAGAAGTACGTTGTGGGAACACTGGGCAGTCAGTAGCTTCATCCTTTAGTTTTTATATTCAGGTACTTTGATGCCTTGAGTTATTTGGGTTTTTTTAATTAATTTTTAATAGTGTTAAAAAGACCAAGTGAAACCTTATAGTGCCAAAAAATTAGGGGGTTTTTTGTTGGTTTTTAAGAGGTTTGGCTTTTGTTTTTAATATCCCAGTAGGTGAGAATCAGGATTGCCAAATTCCATTTTTGCACAAGCAGGAGACATAAGTGATGAGATGCTATGCTTGGTTTGTGTGAGCTCTTCAGGTATTACTATGAGGTTGGTGATAATTTGGGCTAAAAAACATGCATGACAAAGATGTTGAAAATCTTGGGTTAAACTTGCAGAGGCTTAGAGGAGAATGGAAGAGCTGAAGATACTGATCAGTGAACAGGACACTTCCTTAACTCAGGATGCCAAGAGCAGTAAACTCACTGAAAAAAAACAAACTGGTGACCTGGAAAATAAGATAAGCTTTAAAAATGGCAGATTACTGGGAGGTCTTGAAAGCAAATTAAATAAGATGCAGTATTTACTTACTTTGCAATGGATTACAAAGCTGCTAAAGATTGATAACCACAAAAGGACTGAAGGCATTTGAAGTTATCACTAAAAAGGGCAGTTTTTCCTTTGAACAGCACTTGCAAAATACTCAGTTCTTTGGAAAGCTGAAAATTATCTCTCTGTTATCCAAAGGAACTTGGTTTGGGTTTATCCATGTGATTGTTTCCTTCTGTTTGATGCCAGGACACACATATGCTGGTTCAAAAGGAGCTAGCAAATGATATGTTAAATTTGCCAAAAATTTGTAGATGGATTAATTTGTGCTAAAAATCAGCAGTCACGTCATCTTTGTCATTAACTGGAATGAAAATCAGGTGTTCTTAGAACACCTGTAGTTCAAGAAGCAGCAGTTGTTCTCAGGCAAAACCTAAAATTGACTTCTAAAAAGATAACATGATGATATTTCTGGCCTGAGTCACTGTAATTGATGGAGGTGGTACAGCACAGTGTGCAATCCACTCATCACAAGTTTAATAAAAAGATTCTTCAAAGGCTTTGTTATCTCATAGATCAGAGCGTTGCTATTGGAGTTTCACGAGATTAAGGCTTCTCCTCTCCTTCATTGAGACATCACTGCTCACACCCAGCAGCAGCTTTTTAGATTGAGACATTTCCTAAAAGCAAAGTGCAGCTCAGCGTCCTGCTGCTTCCCTGGCTGTCTGCATGATGGGCTGAACTGAATCACCCTGAGAGCCCAAATTCCCTCACTGCTTTAGGTGGCAGAGCTTTCCTAATCCCTAATTTCCCTCACTGCTTTAGGTGGCAGAGTTTTGCTAATCCCGGTGCAAGTGCCCTGTGCACAGCCCCCCCCCATTGCAGTTACAGGTCAAACAAAGAGTTCCCTTTCACAGATACAAGTCAACCATAACTTTCCTTTATGAAATCTTTGGCCCAGACTTGGATGAAGTAAAGATCAAACTGTGTGTTTCCTGAAATGCTTCCTTCAGGTAGTGAAGTGTGTATATTCATTTTGTTCTGGTTCAGGTAAGGAAGCATTTTTTCCTAGCTAAAGTTGGGATTACCAATCTAATTCCTAAGATTATGTTAACTTTTGCAAAAGGATTTGAGTTTGTCACCAACAGATCTGAGCTCTGTGTCTAGAGGAATAGGAATGTTGTGACAGATCACTCAGTAAAAACAATGGGAATCGTTCTTCAAAAATGTGGTCACATATTAAGATCAGGGTTACATCCAGAGATAGGCAGGAATAACCACCACTGCCACATTCCACTTCAGCATTGTCACTGATCCAGTCCTGCAGATTCCACAGCTGCTTCAGAAACTGCTTGGGAAGATAACAAAATCTGTTTAAAACTAAGTCCTTCCCAGTTTGGAGGAGCTCTGGTCTAATTTTTAGGGTGAAGTTCTCACCTGAATCCAAAACCTTTCAAGGTTTTGTGCAAGAGCAGCTTGCACAAACTGATGAGGAGAATTCAAGGATGTTATAGATGAAAAGAAATTTCTTGCTTGAGCAACTCTACTGAAATGGGAGAAATTTTAGGTGAATCAAGTCTCCCTTCTTGTCAAATCTCTGTTGGTTTCCTTTTATCTGGATATCAGCAAGCTTTATCTACCTTACTCAGCAGTGCTTTTAAAAGCATTAACCATTTATCTTACACTATTTCATCAATTAAAAACTTGTGAGATTTTTCTCTAGAACATCTCTGTGCTGACAGAATTGGAAATGCTGTGTATGCATTAAGCAATAAGTTTGGTCACATTTTATGTGAGAACTCGTAAACAGCAAGGACTGCTAAGGAACCAAGTAGAAGGGATTTTACCATTTATTATTTTATCAATTTAGATTAAGAAATGGTAAATCTTTTATTATTGTTCTTAACTCCTCTAATACAGTTTGTAAAATGGAAAGAGTGAGAACTTTAAATGGATAAAGAAAAATATATTTTTTATAATGCACAGTTAATCTGTGGAACTCATTGCCATTAAGTTTCAGTGACACTAAAGAGCTTAGCAGGATGTCTTTACTGGATTATCAAATGTATACCCTTTATCCATGCAAACATCACATTATAGAAGACTTGGGGAAAAAAAAAGAATAATATAAATTCTCATACTTCAGGACTAAGCCAGCTTCTAAATAATCAGAATTAGGAATGAACTTTATGGCTTAGCTGTTTCAGGTTGTCATTTTAGAAGTTTGATTCGCTTTCCTCTTGGGTGACTGTTCCTGGCTAATGGTGGTGATGAGGAACTGAACTGCAGGAGCCACTGGAATGTTTCTGTACCCAGAGTGCCCCCTGGAACCCGGGCACTGATGGGCTCTGCTTGGTGTTTTGCAGGAGTAAAGTGGTCTGTGTTGTGAGGAGAAGTTTCTGGGTAAGGTGGCCTTTGACCTCCTTCCAGTCATTAACCTCTCTGCATTTTTTCTCCAGCATTATTCAGTCAGTTTAGGCTTGAGATTGGCTTTATTACCTTAAAAGTGTAGGGCCTGAGGGGATCTCAAAGTGCTCTCTTTGACACTAAATATATGTACAAATTACACAGTTGGTGCTGTGTGTGTGTAAAACTGAGTCATCTTCCTTGTCATCCCCAACTGTCCTGCTGCCAGTGGCTGCTGCTGTGCTGGTGCACGTCAGGGAGGAGATCAGAGTCTCTGCTGGGTCTGAGGCCACATCAGCTTTTCTCTGTGTTTGTCACTAATTCCTGCCACTGGGATTTATCTGCTGTCTTGCACAGAACTGTGCTCCCTCCGCTTGGCCTCTAGACCTGCCCCTCACTGGGGAATACACTCTCACAATCACTTCTTGTAAGCGTTGCACATTATCTCCCTCATATTCGTTGCTGTTTATTACTCACTGTAATTGAGTAGGTGTGCTCTGAATAGAGGAGAACACAGGTCACACAATAGCTGTGATTCCAGTGTCCTCACCAGAATTAACACACTACACAGGCAGCTTTCTGGATTCTGCTGTTCCCAAAAGACTGAGATGAGTTAGACCACATCATCCTCTGGCTATCCTCCAAGAGCTGTGAAGGAGGAGAGCCTGAAGGAACGAGTTAGGGGCATTTGTCCCTGCAGAAAAATAACACTTTTAAACAGTTTTGAGCTTGTGCACATGTGAATGACAAGTATGTGAATTCAGTGGGGTGTTATCTGAAGGACAGTCATTTTTATGGCGAGTTTTTTTGCTGCACATAATCTCAGCTTCTTAGGAAAACAAGTGTGTTCTCTGTTTTCAGAGGGCTGCTTCCTCCATTAACTGAATAGCTGTTTAGTGTCAACCTCTTGTGCCCGAAGGAGCGGAGTTCTCTAAGATAATTAATTTCCTATGAAGTTTGTTTTTGGAATAAAAAAGGGAAAAGAAAAAGACTTGGACAGAGGAGGCTGCGCCCACTATGGTAGAAGCTAAATATGTGCTCTGATGCAAGGCATCAAAGAATCCATCCTGGCAAAATAGCTATAAATATCCCAAATAAGGAGATAGCTTTAAGTATCACTTGCTACCAACAAGCAGATAGAAAGTAATGCAAAATCAGGCTTTAATGGTTCTAATCTCAGAGAACTGCTCGTTTATCAGCTGCTCTTCTTTTCTCAAAAACTAGTTGTTTTAACTGTTTAGTTCATGAAGCAAAAGCAACTGGGAATTTGGTTCTTGTAGCTCCCTGAGTGAGGATGGTTTCCCCTTCTGCTCCTCCTGTGTCCTGCCAGCTCTGATGAAGGGTTGCTGGGTCCCTGCACTGTGTCCATGAGCTTGGTCGCTCAGTCTTCGGTATTAAGATCCTGGAAAGCATTTCCCCATGGATTCCATGGCCTGACATCGAACTGCTGGGGTTTAAAATGTATTCTTTTGAGGCACAGACTACAGAGCTGAGATACTCGCTTACTTTTAACAGTGGGTTACTCTTAGTTCTTAAAACTCCTCTTGAAACTTGAACGTGCTTTTCCTTAAGTAATACCATGACTAAGGCCATAGCTGTCATTCCAAAGCAGTGATGTAGCAGCCTGTGCACTGGATTTCTGTTCAGGGAGGCAGTGGAAGAGTTAAGGAGGCAGGGCTGGGGCTGCCTGGCTTCCTGGGGCGCTTTGGCAAGGCCCAGCCCCAAGGTAAACAGAAGGTGCAGTAGGTGTATCACTGTGCAGAGTTCAGCCCTTGCTCACAGCTTGCACAACTTGTAGCACACCAGAACACTGTGGAATCAATGGCTCGCCAGAGTTTCAAGACATGATTAAAAGACTCAAGAAGGCCCTGAAAGAATTTCCTTTAATGGGGAATTGTGTGAGTGAGTACAGTGGGTGAGTTGGTATTTTTTTTTCTTTCTTCCTTTCTAGCTGTTGGTTTACTTTGGCAAATGGCTTCTGAGCTTAGGTTTAGTGTATGTGCTTGCATGTGACTGGTTTGGAGAATGAGTATGTTCTGTACCTCACCAAGCAATACTAAAAAAGTTACTCTGAGATGTGATAACTTCTGGTTTGTGGCAATGACAGAACTGTAAAGCTGTTAGAACCTATTTCTTCTTAAAGAAAACATTCCTGTTGAGGAATGCAGGTATGTATATTATTTACAGCATTTACAAGTCTTTAGTTAAATTTCTCCTCATCTTGAGAGCCTCGTTACTGCTTTAATTTTATGTCTGCTTTACTCTGAAATTACAGTAGGTTAACTCTTTAATGTGGATATATTTATGGCACATGGAATGTTCCTCACACCATTCCTATGCATGGTACTAAAATGGAACAAAAAAAGGTTTTGCTGATTAAATATTACATCTTTTTGAACTTATGCCATTTATTGTCTTTTACTAACAAGTTCTAATGAGTTTGGTTTGTGTCAGCCTGCAGTTCAAATTCATGAGTCTGAGCAGAAACAGCATGTGCACACTGCACCGTCCTGGCTCTCGTGTCATGCAAAGGACTGGCATGTTTTAACTTTTGCAGTCAGGGATTGCTAGAAGATTGTGTACCATGACTTCCAGGATTTTGGCTTTGCTATAGAGACAAATATGCCTATCATTTATGTTAACCTTTTCTGGAAGTTTTAAATGTTTAGCACAAAAAATAAGTATCTCTATAGATACATGATGTGGTGATCATGTTCTGATGGAAGTGTGTTACTCCTGCCCCTTATGGAAGTCACAAGTAGTTAAAATTCTTGCTGTTGAATTTGATCAAGCTATAGTAATGAGAACTAGAGAACAGCACATTTGGCTGTAATGAGTATTTGTTATTGTGAGTAAGAGAATGTAAAGGCATGGAAATATTTTTGCTCCAACATGTTTTTGTGGTATATTACTGATAATTACAGCTATATTTTCAATAGGATTAGGGGGTTTTATTAAATCTCGACCATTTTTTCATACATATAATGCATAATTTTTAAATTACACTGCAATAAATATATCTGTGGAAACCGATTAAATCCACAATTTTCAGAGCTTTGTGCTATAAGTCATCACAGTTTGATTGAAACTTCCTAGCTAAGAGCAGGCACAGAGAAATGTCTTCATGGCCTTTTGCAGCTGGCCTAATGCAGGTGGATTTTAATCATGGCTTAGATGAGGTGTGTTGCCCAAAGTGTCGGTTCCCAAAATCCTACCAAGTATATGAAAATGTATCATTAAAGTTTTATGCATTTTTGGGGACTTAACCCCCCTTGCTATACCTGCTTATCTTTGGTTAAAGCACAATTGTTCCAATTGGTAAAAAGCACCTTAAACTCTGCTGCTGTCCTGAGTCCCACACATCTTACCCGAGGTCATGCCTGCATATGTATGTGCACGGATGTTGATTGTAGCCAAGCTGTAAAACATTTTATTATGCCTTGCTATCAAAGGCATTAATTATTATATTCCATGGATTATTATAATTAGTATAATAGTAACTGACATGTTACTATTTCAGTCACAAGTTGTTTCTTCTCATGAAGGAAAACTGTAGAAAATTATCCTTAAAAAAGGAGGGCGAAAGAACTTGTTTCTTTCCCAGTTCATTCCCCCTCCTG